TCTGCAGAGGGACCCTGGACAGGGATGGTATGTTTACAGTTTAGTTTTGGCTAGGTTGTGTTCCACTGGCTATTTGGTCTTGGCCAACTTCATTCTTAAGGTTTCAAAAATGTAAAAATTGTCTGCTTAGTTTATCTATTTCCTTCATTGTTTACCCTAAATTCACTCTTTGAACTCATTTTTTTTGTATTAATTAACCCTAATATATTTTAATTTCCCTATCCAGAATTTCTTTAACATCATCCTTGTATTCCTATACCCCTGTTCACAAAAAGGTCAAAATGCTGTGAGAGTGACATTTATTTTATTTTATTTTTATTTATTTTTGTTATTGATTTGAGAGCAAGAAGAAGGGAGAGGGAGAGGGAGAGGGAGAGGGAGAGGGAGAGGGAGAGAGAGAGAGAGAGAGAGAGAGAGAGAGAGAAACATTGATGAGAGAGAAAATAGATTGGCTGCCTCCTGCATGCTCCCTACTGGGGATTTGGCCCACAACCTGGGCATGTGCCCTGAACAGGAGTCTAACTGGTGACCTCTTGGTGCATGGGTCGACGCTCAAGCACTGACCCACACCGGCTGGGTGGGAGTGACATTTAAATGAAGCCTTGCTAGATAGCATAAGTTGGTCAAGGCATTGGTTGCAAGGGAACAAGGGTAGGGGACTACAGACGTTTTTCTGAGATTATAAGAGGAAGAACATTCTATTGAAGAACTCAGAAAAGGTAGTGTGGCTAGAGCATAGAGAACCAGGACATTTGGGCTGAGATGAGCTGGAGAGGTAAGATCATGACATCTTATTAAAGATTTAAAATTTTGTGCCATAAGCAAGGAAAAAACATTGAAATACTTTAAGCAAAGATATAAGAGAAATTGTGTGGAATATTTTTACATGTGTGTATTGGTGGGACGTGTGGTGACAAACTGGATTTGTACTTCAAAATAGGAAAAAGCTAAAATTTTCTGAGACAAAGCAAGTGCAGATTATGAACTGATGGCTGTTTCATTACCACTTTGGTGGTTTTCACATTGTCTAACTGGTAGAGAGGATTTTACATAGTGTAATCTTAGAGAGACATCAAAATACTCGATTCTGATTGAAGCTATCCTTGCTAAGGAGGAATTGCACTAAGATTCACATCCCTTTATCATGTATCCTTTCCTAAGATATAGTTTTGATGGGGGAAGATGAGAAGTCACTTAAAATGACAGTGAAACCAAGGTAGAGAAAAGAAAAAGGGGATTCCACCCACTTCACAAATATTGATGACAATATCTACTAATCTACTCTCTTATCTGGAAGATTATGTGAAAGGAAGTTCCTAATCCCCAGAAGTACTCATTAAGCACCCACCATATGCTCACACACATATCAGATGGCTTGGTTTGCATCAAGGAACATTTTAGTGCCCTGTAGTTTGATAGATGAGACACTAAAAAGATTCCTATTACCTACTGAGCATTTGTTGTTTGGTGAAGGCAGAGGTGGTATCTATTTTGTTGTTTCATCTTAGGCTTCATGGCTTTTGAGTCTTGGCTGTATTTCACAAATTGAAACTAAGTGGCCCTTGATGATGTCCTTCCTTTCTCATGCAAGTCATTTTATCCATGAGATTGTAAACCATATATCTGTCCCTCTCTATACAGAGATCGATCTATCTATCATCTATCTATCTATCTATCTATCTATCTATCTATCTATCTATCTATCTATCTATCTATCTATCATCTATCTTGTCTCTCTATAGTCTGTCTGTGTACCTATCAGCCAAATAGTATATTCATTGATTTGCTGGATTTCTTTTCTAAAAATCACCCTGTGCCTTTTGTATTTGTAAGGCAAAAAAAAAAAAAAAGATTTGAATTTGTTTTAGCCTGACATGCTTTATGTGCTTGTCTCCTGTGGAATCAATTACTTTGTTACTAATACTCATTTATTAGATAAGCCAGTATGGGTCATAAGGTCCTCAGAAGAGCTCTCCTTCATTACCCGTGCTTCGATTAGGTCAGCAAGAAAGAACCCTATATATATGGCTTGTGCCCTTTAGATACTTTAGGGATATATGGTTAGGAAAAAGGTTCTAAATATCAAGAATAATCTTGAATACTTTTCAACTACTTTCTGATTACAGAATGCTAAGTTGCCAGTAAAATATCAATGTTGAAAAAAAAAAAAAAAGCTATCTTTCTGAGACCCCTAGTTAAATAGTCTTATTGATCTGTGATTTCAAGAAGGATAAGGTGTGGTTTATTTCCAAGGATGAAAACTATATACTCTCAGTTAAGGCTGTTAGAGGCAGTTCCTTCAAGAAGAAGAATAAAGAGCAGCTGAGGAGTAAAGAGTCTACTACCATAGCACTGTCATTTCACAAGTTCAACTTTCTATAACTGGAGTGGGTTAGGAAAGTCAGGCAAGTGAAGCCTGGGAAGGAGCAAATCCACAGGACACACTCATGCACAGGTGCGTGCGCGCACACACACACACACACACACACACACACACAGCATCTGTCATATTGATGTCTAAGGTGGAGCCACAGGCTGCTTTTCATCCTAGCACCAGTGCAGCACCATAATCAGAAAAAATGCTCCCATTTCCTAGGCTACAGAGAACTTGGACAGATGCCTCAGAGAAAGAGAATGACTCAGTGCATGGTTCTCCTGAATTCTTTTGGTTTTGATGATTGTATAATCTTTGTCTTATGATTTATGTTTTACGACCACTTGTGATAGCCATCATATTGCATTAGCTGCAGAATGTCAGAACTTTCAAATTTCCTGTTAACTGACCCTATCACTCCATCTTGCTTACCAGCAGTTGGATGAGAAATTATGTCACTTGAGCAATAAATAAATGGTGATGAATATTTTAAATGAGCAATTTTTATTTCTGTAAACGAGATTCCCCCCCCCCGCATCCCCCCTAAATGGTTGAAGTTACTGTTGTCAAGGACTGGAGATCCATGGCGTCTGAAGTCCCATTTTCAGCTGCGCTCTACGTGGATGGATTCTGAGCCACTGACAAATGGGCAGTAGTGACAACAAGGAGAGAGCTTAGTAAGATCTTGATAACCTGCTATGTTTTCATAAAAAGGTCCCTACTCAGCTAATAAATATTTTAGTCCTCTTGTATGCAATAACTTTTTAGTTATACGCAAAACTATAATAGACAGTGTTTGAGAGAAGGAACTTTGCTTCTGAACAAAATCAATAAAGAGGAAAAGTTAACTTTGGGTGGGAGGGTGGGTAATGGGGCAGAGGGAGGGGAAGCCCAAAAAGAAAGCAAGTTTGGGTGGCATCTAATACCCATAAGTCATATTGCATATGGAAAGTTATTACAACAAAGTCCCTTTGATTCCTAGAGTTTATCATATTATTTGTATATGCCATGACTAATACATTGGTTTTCTGGTGGATGTTCATTTGAATAGCAGTGAATTTTGACTATAAAAAAAACAACTAAAAATTTTATATATTGGGATCTAAAAAAATTACATAAAAGAAAGATTATTACTATCAACTTCATTAACTTTGTTTTCTTTTTTAAACCTAAAGACAAAAATAAAAGCAATATGGAAATCATGCAAACATCTCTCAGAAATACTTTTTGTTCCCCAGAAAATTAATTTGCATCTGATTGAATTAAAATGAAAAGCCTCCAAGCAAACAGTCTCTTGTGGCAAAATAAGGGATGAAAAGCTTATAGGGAGAAAATAAGTATCTACGAATGCCTTTTTATTCTTGATTTCCAAAGCACACAGAAAGTGTCAGTTAATAATAACTAAAAATTGCTCATATATTTAAAAGAAAATTATTCAAAGCTTCGGTTTACATCTTAGCTACTGACAAATATTATATCAGTAGACAATATCTATCTATCCATCTGTCCATCCATCATCAATGAATGGTATTTTTGTAAACTTTTTAAAGCATATCTTTAAGGCTTTTTTTTTTTTTGAAGCTGTGCTCTTGTACCATACTGTGGTGAGACTTATGTAGTATAATTTTTATTCCCTTCAATTTACCAGTTTGAAAGGAAGATAGAAAATTATGGTTTTAAATAATATAAATAAGTGAATGAAGTGGTCTGGGTAGATGGGAAGAATTGATTATGTTGAAGTAACCAACATTAAATTTCAAAATTAGAATATTTTTGTGGGCGAACTCTTTTAAATCCTATCCAATGATAGTGAAAATACTATACTCCGGTAGGAAAATGGACAAAAAGAGTGAACTGGCTATAATTATTAATTGAGGAAACACAAGTTAATGTTAAAATCCACTAATAGCCCATGGAAAGTAAATTGGAAAGAGCTAATGTGTTAATCTGTCAGATTATCTTTTTTTTTTTTTCCCCATCTGTGAACAGAGTCAGTTTTATTTTTGCCTTTCCAATTTACATGCTTTTTCTTTCTCTCTTTCCCTTAGTGAAGTAGGTAGGACTCCAGTATAGTGGTGAACAGAGGTGAGAGAGGACATCCTTACCTTGTTAATGATCTTGGGGAAAAAACATTCATTGTGCCATCATTAAAAATGATATTAGCTAGGCTGTTTATAGATGGTCTCTGTTATTTTATCTGTATAGTTTAAATTCTTCCAATCATCATAGTTGTATGTGTGCCTGTATTAAAATGGTAACTCCTAGTACACATAATGACAACCTACTTTTTTCAGTATCTATAATACTATTTGCCTACTATTATCCTCCAAACAAACAAACAAACAAACAAACAAACAAAAATAGGTACATGTGTTTTTATAATAGGCTGTAGTTTTTAAAAATATAGATTTCTCACTAAATTAAAACTAAGCATATTTCATACCATTTTATTTCAGTTCTTCGTTGTCTGACTGATGGACTCTCCTGTTACTTATCGCTTAAATTATTAAACTATACAGAAGTACTGATGTTTACCATGACTCGAAGTACTATTGTTCCACAGTCAATGGAGCACTTTGGCACATCCAGAAAAAATGCTCCTACGTTCTGACCGGCGAGGGACCGCCTACAACTTTGCAGTTTTTTCTGAAGGTTGGAATTGTCCTGCTTCAAATTTTTCTTTAAATTTTAAGTAGTCTCTTCTTTTGTCAAAATATTTTGTCCACTGCTGGGGACAGATGGATTCAAACGAGCGCCTTAATTTCTTGCACTGAGAGGTGTCCTCCGTGTTCTCGTCCAGACGCGTCCAGTAGGCGTCGCGGGCGCCCCAGCAGGCCTGCCTGTCCTTCCGAGACCGGGCTGCCATCCTCGGGGGCGCGACCTGTGGGCCAAGGTGGCATTTCTCGCCCCAGAGCCGGTCCTGGCGCCCCGCGGGGTCGCGTCGCCTGCGGGCTGGGGCCTTGCAGCCTTGCACTGACCCTCACGGGCTCCAGATTATCTTTTGAAGTGAAAATATCTAAGTAGTGGAATGGGCAGCTCTGGTCCACCACTGGTACACGCAACCATTTGGTGGGCGATTTGTTTTATTTCAAGAACCTTAAAATAGCTCAAATATTTTAACTCAGAAATTTTAGTTCTGAGAATATAAACTAATTCTAAATTACATGTAAAAATATGTACTGAGTTATTTTTAATCAAGAAAAATTGGTAAGAATATAAAAATACAAAAATGAACAGTTCTATTAGACAGGACACTGAGATGGGCATGGTGATGCTATCCAGTGTTTTCATCAGACGGACAGGCTCCAGCTGGCCACAGAAAGCCACCTTATTGAGGGGCACATGCTCTTCTCAAGGAAGCCCACACACCACGACTTACACCGTTGGGGATACAAAGGGTTGGCCATTTGGTCAAACAGAGAACACATTTCAGCCCCAGAGCTCACTATTGTGGGGTTGACCTAGCTCACTGTGGGGCCAGCACTGCAGTCTGACTTGCCCTTCTTCCCCGATGTTGACTCCAAGGGCACTCCTTCCTAAACGGTTTACATCCTAAATTCAGACTTGGCTTCAAGAAGCCAGCTGCCACAAGTATGTACAACCTGGGGCAAATTTAAAAGCAATGGACTGTAATATAGAAATTAAAATTATTTAAGGGAATGTTTACCATAAAATAGGAAATTGTCTAGATCTAGTGAAAAAACCACATGCAAATGCACAATTCTCTCTGTCTGTCTGTCTGTCTCTCTCTCTTCCTTTACCCCTCCTCCTCTCTTCCCCACCCTTGTAAATTGTACATGTGAATATAAAAAAATAATAAAAGCAGTAACATGAGCTACACCAAAATTTTACCAGTTGAAATGTTTTGTCTCTCTCCCTCCTTCTTTTCCTTCCTTCCGTCCTCCCTCCTTTATTTCCCCCTACACACTGATTATTAGTGAACATGTATTAGTGAACATGTGATATTGCCTATCACTAGATAGGCAAGACAAAGTGTAAAAAATAATCATGCTCGTTAAAAAAGTGTTTTATAAAGCACTGTGTCTGACAGTGCAAAGGCTTTATGCTTCCTATTCTTGATGTATTTATTTAAATATATAACAGTCCTAAGAACATTTGGCATTCTGTCCTAGATGTTACATGGTGTCTAATAATTTAAAAATAATATATTTTTAAAAACAAGCATAGGATGGAGATAAAGCCATGTGGTATAGCATATTGCACATTTAAATAATGCCAGTGATATGTAAGCTGGGTAAATTATTCCCAATGGTCTCCCGGATCTTGGGTAGTGTTCCACTCTTTGAATCCTGAGATCTATAGTAACAATATTGCGTTTCTTGCCTTAGCTTAACTCACCATGAAATATAGCACACTGGCCCTAAAGATAACTGTGAACTACTAGTATCTAGTATTATTCATGGGAACCACTGGTGAGTCCTTTATCCCTTTGGCTCTTGATCTTGTCTCTGTCAATTCTGTGATTTCCTGTCTCCTGGTCTTTGCATCAAGCTTGGTCTGTCTGGGTTTCAGTTCTGTACTTTAACAAACCAAACCAGCCTTGCTAGCTCTCTGACAGTGGGCAACAGTATTGTTCAAGTACTAATTCCACATTCTCTTACTGACCCCAGGGAAACCTAACCCTGGCCATGTGGGTAACAGTGAAGAACACATACAGCTCTCAATATCTTTCATGTTTCCCATCAGCTCAGTCTGAGCTGACCAAAGGCCTGTCATTTCACAGTTTTTACCAGCCTGAAGACAATGGCCAGAAAATACCCAATCAATTAAAGAGTGAGCTGACAAAAATATTTAAAAAAATAAAAATAAAACACACAATAAAAGCATGAATCCACAATTTGTAAATGCCCCAGTATCACAAATTTTGGCAAATGTAACGGAAAAGGTAAAATAAAAAACATTCTTATTCTGGTGAAAATGCCCAGAATGACATAATTTCCTAAGAAATTCTAAATATGAGTGAGGTCCCTTTTTCAGTTCTTGATTAAAAAAAACAATTGTAAAATAGGCAATACATTTACATTTTGAAATTCAAGAGGTATAAGGTATCAGTGAAGTCTCCCCACAACCTGCCTTTCCATCTACCTTGTACCTCTCCTAAGCAACCAGTTTTACCAATGTCCACTGTACTTTCTAGACATAGTCTTTGCATACATAATCTGCTTTCTGTTCATAGATAATTTTCCTTCAAGAGGGTAGGGCCATGGTCTATTTTGTTCACAGTTTCTTCTGAAATATCTAACACAGTTCTAGGCATATAGTAGGGACTCAATAAATATTTGTAGTATAAAGTAGAAACTAATACAGACATTATTCTCTCTGCAATATATTTTCCTTGCCTCCAAATATATCTACTCACAGGAGTAGTTAGTTCTCAGCTCTATACCTTCATGGTTTCTGAAATCACAGTTCAACCTCAAGGTCTCATTAATCTACTTTAAGAGCATTACAGTAAAGCCTTCTAAAAGTTCTTGCCTTCTTACATATAGATATTAACTATGCAGAGAGGGAGAGAGGCAATGTAACTGGGTGGCCAGGAGCAGTGACTGGTCAGTCTGCATGAGTTCATCTTCTAGCTCTGCCACTTGTAAGATACTTGGTGCTCCTGATTTATTTGAAGCAAATAAATATTTCTTTCAATGCAGTGACTGTAGGGAGAAGAAAAAAATCACATTTACTCAAATGTGAATTGATTCTAAATTTAAAAAATTGATCTCTCTAACTGATGTTATAGTCAAAGTCTAAATTAGAGCCAAGGATAAGATAAGCAAGATGACATTGATATTGAACAGCTGGTTGATGTTAAATCTTTCAAAGAGCCAATAGAGTGTTCTTTTATTAGCAGAGCTTAGGGAGTTGTGTCTTATCCTATAAGAGTTAATAGCACCTGGTTTTTTAAAGTACTAATTAAAGAGAATGGCATAACAGATTTTTGTTAGTTCTTCCAAAATATAAGAATTTTCACTGATGTGTGAGGTGATAAAAACATTGTGATGTTGGTTGGAATTTGGATCTTAGCCATAACTTTGGCATGCCTACATTTTCCTACTTGGGTTCCTAAATGTGGGATGTTAGATAAGACTTGAAGACATTTACATGACTTATGAAGTTAAAACTCAGACAACTACCTATCAAATTTTGAGTTATTCTATTTTGAGTCCTGGTATGTGTAGCAAAACAATTTTGATTTTAATTTCATAGTGTAAGTTTTTTATGGGTGTATCCAAGATAATAGATGAGTGCTAAGTAGGTTTGTTCACTTTGCAGGTGAGGTTGTATTGTTTGTTCATTTTATTTTTAAATTTATGAATTGATGAGTTGGAGCTGACCAGGTAAATGTTATGAGGAAGGCATTTCCCAAGAAGCTTGGCTCATAATCTTTCAGCAAGGCTAGCAAGTTTATGAGCAAGATTACGCTGCTTTTCCACTGACAGTAAATGTGAACAAAGACAGCACCTTTTAACATAATCAACATCAATTGCTTGTTGGACTGGACTTTTCTGGAATTCGACTACTTTTCTTCTAAAGATGCTGTTTCTTAACCATCTCATGCTCAAATAAGAGGTGATTTTAAGCCCTCCATGGAGTCAAATATATTTTCTGAGATAATTGTTACTTCCCTAACATCCCTGAATCAAAATTAAACTCTAGGTGAAATTTGTTAATGAAATTAAAGTTCTAATTTAGCGGTGGGCAAACTATGTTCCACAGGTCAAATCTGGCTTGGTGAGTAAAGCCTGCAAATTAAGAATGAGTTAACTTTTTTTTTTAATGGTTGAAAAAAAATCAAAAGAAAAATAATATTCTATGACATGTAAAAATTATTTGACATTCAAATTTTAGTGTCTGCAAACAAAGTTTTATTGGAATACAGACATACTCATTTATATATTGTTCATGGTTGTGTTCACACTGCAATGGCAAAGCTGAGAAGATCCAACAGAGATTATATGGTTTGCAAAACTGAAAATATTTACTGTCTGGCTCTCTACTGAAAAAGTACACTCACCCTATTCTGACTTAATCACTTTTTACCGTGGAGAGGGAAAAGTAATATGTCTTTTTAAGGAGAAGAAGAATCAAATGCACACACATAGAGAGTCTATTGTGATTATGGTACTCTGTGGATGAAGAATTAGGTTAGTTTACCAACACTGAAAATACAAACTATTGATAGATTAAAAAAAACAACAACAACAATGATAAGGGCAGAAGCAAATAAAAATGAGTCAATAACTAGGGAAGAGAGCTAGAACTCTTTTCTCTGCAAGTGTGAGCTCTGCAAGGGCAGGGACTGCTGCTTTTTCTGTGTGCCTTTGGTACTTAGTGTGCTTAGCCAAGTGTGTCTCCTGACTGCATGTTCCACAGTGGAGGTTTCAGTGAATGACAGTTGGTTGGCTGATGAAATGAAGGTACTTCTAAAGAGCCATTGCAAGAGAAACTGAAAATAAGAGGTATTTTTTTTTTTTAGAAAAGAAGCAGAAAGATTCTCCTTTCTCCCACATCCATTCACCAGCCTGACGACCTTCACCTTGACAACATGTTAGTAATCAGTCTCTTTCTACAGACTCATATAGATTTAATTTGTTCACTGTGACTCTTCTTTATATCAGTCATTAACCTTATTTATAATTTATAGACTTTAATTTTTGCTTTCTAGATAAATGGTATGGTTTTTCTTGACCTTTACATGTTCCATCAATGCTTTTTGAAGCACTCAATCACATTATCTACAAGGAGTAAGGTAATTACTTGACAGTGGTAGCAGGTAATTTTCTAAATAAAAATTCTACCTCTCCCCAGCAATATGGCAGTGAAAAGAGCATCATACTTTTATTTGGGACA